TATTTATTTATTATTTGTATGTATTTAGTACAGGGTCTACAGGGTCTCACTACACAGATCAGACTCGTAGTGATCCTCCTGTTTTCAGCCTCTCAAGCACTAGGATTACAGATGCATGCCACCACGCCCAGTCTCAGTCCCCTCTCAGAGCACCCCAGCCCAGTGCAGCACACTCATATTCAGTCCCTAGTCCCTGCATCTGCCTGGGCATGCGCTTTAATCTGCTGAGCTACCTGGCCAGCCCTTTCTCTGCTCTTCTTTGTCTCCTCTGTTCATGGATAGTTTTGTCTCCCTAACACATTTGTTCTAATCCTTCACAGTTCTGTTTTCTTTTTTTCTTTCTCTTTACTTTTAAATTGTCTTGCCGCTAGGGAGTAAACTGAGGGCCTCATGCACGGAAGCCAGTGTTCTACCACAGAATTATGCCCACAAACCCTGCTCATAATCATACTTAATTTTCCCATTTATCTTCTAAGCCTCCAAGGACCTGTCTTCGTGAAATGTCTTGAGATGGTTTCTACAATATATTGTTCACATTTTTCACCATATTTCAGGTTTATATGGGCACACTCAGGAGATGAATGAGCTAGAAGTTCGTCTCCAAAAGGATTGGCCTGAGCCCCGCAAGGACGAGCAAAGCAGGGAGTTGACAGTGCTAGGGGCCGTCTGCTGGCAGCCTTAGGACTCTCTGTGGGAGCTGGGTGGGGGCTAGGGCTCCGTCCTGTTTCTGCTTCTTTTTTGTTCTCTCATTTTTCAACCCCCTCTCTTTCTAATTTTGTCTCTAGTACTGAATATAATTTGCTTTCTTATAATTTAGAAGTTCTCTTGAGTTGAAAAATTGCACTCGAATTGTTATAATTAATATAAAATTAACACATAACTAAAAGTTTTTAGATTTAATCTAGAAATAAAAATGCCAATGAAATCATAATGGTAAAGAACTAGGGAAAATGATTTTTATTATACTAACATATAATACATCTTACTTTCAGTTTAAGATTATTTCAGAAGTTTGACAATTTCCGGATTCTTGTTTGTGGAGGAGATGGAAGCGTAGGTTGGGTTTTGTCAGAAATTGATAAGCTCAACCTGAATAAACAGGCAAGTAGTAATTCTTTTTCTTTGCTGGTCTACGTACATACTGCCAGAGAGATGCAGAACTGTAACGGTCCCGGTTTGCAGCCTGTCTGAAAGTCTGTCTTCTGCACTCTGTTCCAGTGTCAGCTGGGCGTACTACCCTTGGGCACCGGCAACGACCTGGCCCGAGTTCTTGGCTGGGGAGGTTCACACGACGATGACACGCAGCTTCCTCAGATACTAGAGAAGCTGGAACGAGCCAGTACCAAAATGTTGGACAGGTAAAAGAATTCTGAAACTGAGCTGAAAATGGCACACTAAAATGTTTTTTTAAAATACCTTCAATTGTTTATACTGTAAACCCCCTTGAAGGCTGGTGCTTCTGGTCATCTGGTCTACCATTTGATCCCTGGGTTAGAGAACAAAGCTTGCACAAGTTGGCACTCAATTAAGATGTTTTTTGAGTGAGTGAAGAAAGTTTGTAAAATTGAAATAACTTACTCCAGTGTGTCTGTTATTTTGTAGATAGAAGACTATGTTGATACTAATTATTTTGGTCACTTCCAAGTAGGAAAGTTCAAATAGGCTTTTTATAAGTTAAAAAGGAGAATACAAATACAAAAAGGGTTTAAGAAAACAGACTTTAGATTTGTTAAGAGTATCTTTTCTTTAAAAAAAAAAAAAAGAGTATTTCTTAATTTTACATTCTAAGAATTAATGCAGTAAGGAATTGAATATTTAAAAGATAAATTCTCCTATTCCCTGTACAAGGAGGTATTAGGAAGACGGAGGTGCATGAAGGAATGATCCTTGTGTTTATGCTGTCCTTAACCACATCAGAGCTGCTCCCTGAATGGCCCACGTATGAAACAAGTCTCAGCGAGTGCAGCCTCAGTGTTGTAGAGGAGGTGTTTGGAGGAGGGCTAGGGAGTAACAGGATTCAGTAAGCAGTAATTAGCCCACCCCTGTGAGTAGAAGATGTGTCAGAACGTAATAGACTGGAGCTAGCGCAGATCGAAACATTTCGATAGGATCAGACATCTGTGGAACTCTTCTCGAAAATAACAGAATCTCATCAGGGAGCCACCAATCTAAAGTGCAATTATGCTAGGGCAGGCCATAACCTGATTGATTTTAACTTTGTTGTAAGGTAATGCAATGCTTCTTTTGCTGACAGCATCTTTAAAGGGAGAGCTGGACGATGAAACATTTGTCTGTATTTATTCAAAATGATCAAGAGAGACACTTTAGTAGTTTGGGCACATCATAAAGGTTTATGATCTAAGGTGGAGCTGGATTCTGTTTTTTAAAAAAGGTAACTCTGAGGTGTGATGGATAACTAGGCTTATTGTGGTGATACTTCATGGTGTACAGGTACATCAGAACATCAAGCTGTACACTTTAAACAGACTTTTTTGAGTCAGCTGCATCTTAATAAAGCTGAGGAAAAAACAAGACTAGAAGTAAGTAAATAAAATCACCATTATTTATGAAGTCTAGAGGAGTTTCCTGGGTAACTGTCCAAATCTGTGCTTGCCAAACAACAGAGAATATTTTTAGTGCTTTCTTTCTGAGTTAATAGCCCTGCTGCTGCACTTAGGACATGCTGCTTAGGTGTTTGCTGCGCTCTGGATGTGTGCTTTTTCTTTGCCTGGTACAGAAATAAATTTCTCTGATTAGTGGAGGAATAGCACCCCATGGTGAAATTCCATAACAGCAGGCCAGTAAAAAATATAAGAAAAAAAGAATCAAAGTGGATTCAAAAGCCTAGGACTATTATTAGAAATACAAAAATACTGGAGTCCTCACTTTCTTTAATAATTTACATTTTTAAAAAATAAAACAGGACAGCAGGCGTGGTGGTAGATGTCTATAATCATAGTACTCAGGAAATTATATCAGAAGCATTGCAAGTTCCAGACCAGCCTAGAAGCAGAGTGAGTCCCTGCCTCAACATAAGTGGTTCATCACCCCTGGTTCATTCACTAGTGCTGCAACAAAATTGGTGACCCCAGGTTCATAAGCTAAAAGAAAAGTAAAAAAGAAAATGAACCAGTGTTTCCTAGTCCATATATTTGCTCTTCAAACCGACCCTGTAAGATGACTTAGAAAAGCACCATCATCAGTTCCTTACAAAGATGTAAAGTGAGGCTTCTGGAGACTAGGAGCAAAAACAGCTGATACTCAGTACCAGTCATCACTGCACTCAGAGAGAGAGCCACTGCTGTCATCTCCATTTTCCCAATAAAGCGTGTAGAAGGTTTTACATATGATGAGTCACACAACTAGTAAGTGCTGGCACTGGTGCTCTAAACTGGAATCCAGACTTTAGTTCACAGGATCTTTCATTATCATTGACTGCACTGTCACCCCCTTAAAGCATGTATGCACCAGGGAAGCTCTAACCTTCTGGCTTCTCCTTCTGTGTGCTGGAATCTTTCCTCTCTTCCTGCCGCATTCTCCTGTTTCTTCAGCTCTAACCATTTCCTGCCAATGAGGGAGGTACAGTATAGAAGGTGTAAACATTAGGTGTATTTCTTTCCCTTTAAGTGAATTTTGGCCAGTGAAGTGTTTCCAACAATAAGAGACTTGACTTTTATGTTTACAGTCGTATTTTTATGTTTGAATATTTGCAAACTCACTTAAAAAAAGACCCTTATATTATCTCTGTTTTTTATACTAGAGTATGTACTTTGTTTAGGGAAGCCTTCTTCATTTTGTGTTTCTAGATTCTGTCTGCTGCATGGTTGGAGGGATGGATAAATGGCTGAATGCCTTTTGATGCTATTATAAAGATGTGAATTGCTTTATAATA